ATCACCTGAATTTGGTTTAATATATATATGTTAAAATTAATGCTTTATAGATATCCCTAAAGGCAAAATTCACTGTGGTATATTCATATGTGGACATAGCAATATTTGGTCCATTTCCTTCCATATTTCTTCTCTTTTCCCATCCCTCCTTCCTCCTCCTCCATCTCCTTCCTCTGCTCCATTGACGTCTCTTCTAATTCCACGGGACTCCCTGCTCCACCTTCCCCCCTTATTTTGGTTTAGCATCGGCACAGAGGAAAGAACATTTGACCCTTGACCTTCTGAGTCAGGCTCACTTCACCCAGCGTCATCTTCTCCAGCTTCATTCATTTACCAGCGAATAATTTCATTCTTCCTTATGGTTAAGTCAAACTCCGTTGTGTGTATATACACCACATTTTCTTTACCTGTTCACCTTATTGATGGGCACCTGGGCTTACTTCATAACTTGGCTATTGTGAATTAGTCATAGCACTGCTATAAACACTGATGTGCCCGAATCCCTATAGTATGCCGATTTTAGTTTTCTTTAGGATAAATACCAAGGAGTGGGAAAACTGGGCCATATGGTGGGTTCATTCCTGGTCTTTTGAGAAATCTCCATGCTGGCTTTCCAAAGTGGTTGTACTAATCTGCGATCCTACCAACAATGTAAGAGTGGATCTTCCCCCCCACTCCCAGGTCCTCACCAGCATTCATTATTATTTGTATTCTTTATGATTGCAATTTTAACTGGAGTGAGATGAACTATCAATGTAATTTTTATTTGCGTTTCTTTGATTGCTAGGGACGTTGACAATTTTTTCATATCTTTGTTGGCCATTTGTATTTCTTCTTTTGAGAAGCATCTGTTCTGTTCCTTTGTCCATTTATTCAGTGGGTTGTGTTTTAGGGGCTAAGTTTTTTGAGTTCTTTATATATTCTACATGCTAATCCCCTGTTGGATGAGTACTGGCAAAAGATTTTCTCCCATTCTCTAGGCTCTCTCTTCATGCTCTTGTTTCCTTTGCTGTGAAAAAACTTTTTTTAATATTTATTTTTTATCCATCTGCAGTTGGACACAATACCTTTATTTCTTTATTTTTTATAAGGTGCTGAGGATCGAACCCAGGGTCTCACACGTGCTAGGCAAGCACTCTACCGCTGAGCCCCAGCCCCAGCCCGTGCAGAAACTTTTAATGGGATGTCTTCCTACTTATTGATTCTTGGTTTTATTTCTGGTGCTTTAGGATTCTTGTTAAGGAAGTCAGTTCCTGGGCCAATATGTTGGCCCTATGTTTTCACTATGTTGCAAGTGTTTCTGGTTGATCTCTAGGTCTTTGATACACCTTGAGTTGACTTTTGTGCAGGGTGAGAGACAGGTATCTAGTTTCAGCCTTCTACATACAGATATCCAGTTTTTCCAGCACCATTTTTTGGGGGGGAGGGGTACCGGGGATTGAACTCAGGGGCACTCACCACTGAGCCACACCCCCAGCCCTATTTTGTATTTTATTTAGAGACAGGGTCTCACTGAGTTGCTCAGTGCCTCACTGTTGCTGAGGCTGGCTTTGAACTCAGCATCCTCCTGCCTCAGCCTCCCAAGCCACTGGGATGACGGGAGTGTGCCACGCCACCCAGCTCCCAGCACCCCTTGTTAAAAAGTCTCCTTTCTCCTCCGTGTTTGTCTCATTGTCTGTCTCCCTCACTCGGAGGAAGCTCCACTGGGTAGAGAATTTTCTTCTGTTTAGTTCACTGAGTTCTCTCCCTGCACCCAGAGCAGTGCCTGGTCCTTCAAAGGTACCCAACTGATTATCCATCCACCGAACAAGCAGCATCTAGGCCTCCAGGTTTGGGGCTTGAAGCCACTATTTTTCTCTCTTTCAGCTTGTCTGTGAACTATTCATTAAACCCTATTGATTCCATCTCAAATATAACTCTTCACTGTCTTGACTCAGCATAGACTATTTTCTCTGCCAGAAAAACAATGGATCAGCCCTCCAAAATCACCATTTAATGAGCACCTACTATGCACACTCAAAGCATTCCTTTGGCATCATCTCATTTAACTCCCACAGCAAACTTTTGTGAGGTAGGTGACAAGGTTTCTTTCTTTTCTTTTTCTTTCTATTTACTTATTTTGACAGATAAGGAAATCTAGGATCAGATAGGTCAAGGGACTTGTGTACAATCTTACAGCCAAGTGGAAGTTCCAGGATTTGAACTAGATCTAAGATGCTCGTTCAGCTATCAGGTCCAGGGAAGAATATTAGATGGACATCGCCAAAGTTTGCTGGACATCTCCGA